GAGGAATTCGAACTATAGATGGACTCTCGCTTCTTATATTCAGGTTTTGTTTCTGTTTTTCCCCCATTGGGTCTGGTTTTGTCTACCATTCATGGGCACCTCCAGTTTGTTCTTGGGACTTTTAGTATGAAAAAGCAATGCCATGCTGATGTGAAGACAAATAGTGTACAGAAGTGGGACTTCCCCCAAATGGAGGGAGCCTCAGGATCTCTAGGGCTCCACCATTAGTCTATGTGGGTGGCTGCAGAGGCTGAGAGAAGGTTTTAAAGGGAAGAAGAAGTGAAAGGACCATGAAAGGTCAGAGGCTTTACAACTGGTCTCTTGGCTCACACTGAGACCCCTAGGGTCACCACGAGCACACTGGGTACATGTGCAAATTAGGAAGAGGTGCCCACTTCCACTGGAGTATTTTATTGTCTGAGCACATAATAACTGGAGGATGTACAGAAAGGTGCCCCCTGGGGAAGAGGAGAGAGGAGAAGGTGTCCCTTGCTTTGGGCTGACATAGCTCCATGGCCAGAGTGTGAGACTGGACAAGCCAGATGGTGGCTGGATTTCGATTCTGATTGGCACAACCTACACAACCATACACGGAGGCCCTGCCCTGGCCCCATCCAGCCCGCCCGCTGCTGGGTCTCCTTCCTGAAGGGAAGCTAATGGGTCCCCTCATCATTGAGATTGAAGCTACCAGTGGCCACTTGGACAACTGTTCCTCAAAGTATGGAATATGTCCTGCTGGTGGTGGGTAAGCTGATTCTATTTTAATGATTTAGGTTTATGATGGAACTTTCCTGCAAAAACTGTTTACAAACAATGAGCCCAGATGGGGTGCTTACTGTACACTGAATATCCACATGCATTGCTGCCTTTTTTGTTTAAGAACACATTTTAAGGTCACTTCTGTTGGTTCACAGATGGGGGAAAATTGTAAAGGTGGTTGACGAGTGGCCCACAAGTCCCTACCCGCGGAGACTGTGGATGCAACCTTACTTGGAAAAGGAGTCTTTGCAGAAATACTTAAATTAAAGCTTGAAAGATGAGCTTTTCCTGGACTTATTGTGACCCTAAGTCCAATGACAAGCATCCTTATCAGAGAAAGGCAGAGGGAGATTTGACCCACAGTGACACAGAGAAGCCATATTAAGACATATGCAAAGGTCAGAGCTTTGCAGCCATAAACCAAGGAACTCCTGGAGCCACCAGAAGCTGGGGGAGGCAGGAAGAATCCTCCCTTAGAGCCTTTGGAGAGAGTGTGAGACTCATGATCTCCAGAACCGTAAGAGCATACATTTTTGTTGTTTTATGCCACCAAATTCATGGCAATTTCTTATGGCAACCCTAGGAAACTATAACAGCTGGCAACCACGTGGTAACAGTCTTTGATAAGTATCCCACATCCACCCCCAGGTTCAACCTACACGTCAGCCCACCAAACTCCATCTCCCTCCCCAGACCCATGCCTGGCCCTGAGCCTTTACCCACCTAATTCCCAGTCCAGAAAGCCTCTGTTCTGTTCTCCCTACATCCAGATTTCCAGAATAAGCCCTGTCTCTCCTAAGAAAATGTCCCCTTTGTGTTCCTTCCCAATGCTAGTGAGAGTGACTTCGTCCTCTGCCGGGCAACAAAAATGCTTATTACCACGTGTCCCACTCTCATTTGCACTCCGTGTACGCCAATTTTCATGCATGTATGCTTATTATGCTGAGTATATAACAACAACCCACATTTATCGTCTGCTTTGGAGTTCACAAAGCATCAACTGCACAGAATAGTAGCCTTGATCCTCACATGGAGCCATGGAATCCATAAAACAAGTGCATCAATATCCTAGCTGTACAGACAGGAGATTCCACCAGGGAAGCTAACCTATCTATCCATGTTATTCCCAATGTGGTTTGAGCAAATGGTGGACAGTTGGTCAGTCTGTTTGTCTGTCTTTGCCCTCTACCACATTTATCAGGAACAGGGATTATCTTTATTTCTCCTCCCTTTGGGTGCATAGTACTAAGCCCAGGGATATAAACAGGGAAACTGACGTGAGTTTCCAAGAAAAGCTTGACTCAGCCATCTTTAAGGTGCTGGGAAATCTCCATCTTTTGGGACAGCTGGCAGAGTTCTGGTTGGTTCTGTTTGGTTCCACTAGGGACCATTCAGAATCTCCTGCCCTTAGATAGCAGTGGTGCCAGCTCTCCACCAGAGCCTCAGCAGTTTCCGTGGAAACTGTCATTGGAATTCCACCCCAACATAAAGGAAAATTCAAGAACTGGACTTGATAGGGACAAGGGGCAGGGGGGGGGCACGATCAGTGAAAACAAGGAAGCACCTGTCATTGGAATTCCACCCCAACATAAAGGAAAATTCAAGAACTGGACTTGATAGGGACAAAGGGCAGGGGGGGGGGGCACGATCAGTGAAAACAAGGAAGCACCATGATTCCCACAGGGGCTCACCTCCCATGAGAACTCCCATGCCTCTGGAAGTCATCCCCCACCAACTCTTTCCTCCCAGATGTACTTAGTGATGTTCTGCTCTTCAGAGGGCAGCAGCCTAGACCTGGATTCCCAGCTGTGGGTTGTACATTGGAAAAGCTCTCTAGGAGAGAGAAGGGGTACACACTGTGTGGGGGAGCACAGAGATGATGCTGATGCTACCTTCCATTGTCATAGGCAGGCCCAGTGATGAAGCTGAGAGTTGTATGGTATCCTCTGGCCCTCTGTATGGGAGGAGACTTCTGTCTTGGACTGGTGGTGCAAACCAGCATTTAGCCCTGAGATGCCCTCCATGGGGGGGTGATGTCACCAAGCACAGCCCAATGGGCAATTCCATTGGATAAGGAGGAAAGTAATGGAGTTGAGAATGACAGTCACAGAAAACAAAGAAAGAGCCAAGTTGGGTTCTCTGGTAATTTTTCCACCTACTCCCACCCCACTATATCCCGGCCACTCCCACATGGATCTTGGCCCTTGACATTCCTTCACAAAAACAATCTTTTTCCTTCTACAACTGGCCATCCAACTGTAAGAGCAAATACCTACCTCACTTTTAAATTATCTCTGAGAAACAAAAGACTAATCCTTGTCCTTGTCTACCATAGAGGGCTTTGGGGGTAGGGAGTGGAGGAAGAAGGGAGGCATGCCAGTGCCATCTGCCTGTAGGGGGCGCTGGCACTACACAAAGGTGTAGGAGACGGTGCCCAAGCAAACTGCCCCCAGGACCAGAAACCTCAGACATCAGACAGGGCCAAGGGTCAGCCCTGGAGCCAAACAGACAACAATCAGCCACAGAAGGATGGTGATTCAGGCACCGCTGGCCAGATGGGGCCCTGCAGCCTTCACAGATGGTCTTCATTACTCCCAGCCAACACTCTCTGAACAAGGCTAGGGCTGGGCTCATTACTTATTAAGGGGGAGAAACGGAGGGGAAATTGAGGTCCAGAGAAGTACAGTGATTTTCCCTGGCTGCTCAGTTATTGCAGCTCAAAATAGCCCTTCTTCCAGGAATCAGCCTCCCTCCGTTCCTCCCTTATTTATTTCAGAGCATGGCAAACAGGGTGCCTCTTACCGCTTCCCATGCGAGCAATGCACCCTGCAGCTCCCACGTGACTATTCCTATTTCTCTCTCACGTTGCCTCTCAAGCTCATCCAGTGGCCCATGCGAGCCTCACAATGGCCCTGCAGAAAGCACCAAGCGGACTTTCCTTTGAGAGATGGGCGAGTTCTGAGGCACGTTTTCCTGCCTAGATCAGGGCCTGGCGCATGTGGCCAGGGCTCAAGGGTGTCTATTCACTTCTCCATATTGGATGCTCCATCTTCTTGCCCCATGCCCACCCCTTTAGTTTAGGGTCACTTTGACTGTCTCACAGATGTCACACCTTTCTCATCCCTCATGTACCTGACCCTGCTGGACTGTGGGCTGGCTCCTGTACATCCTGCCTCCCCAGCGTCCAAGCTGGGGTCTGGATTTCGCCTCCAAAGACAGCATTACCTGCCACTTCTGAAGAAGACTTCCCAAGGGTCCTACATGGATCCAGCCCCTCAGATGGGGGCGGGCGGCAGCTTCTCGGCAGCCGGGGTGGCCTGCGCCGTCTACTGGCCTTCAGCTGAACGCATCTCTGCAAGAAGTTCCCTTTGTACCTGCAGGACAGAGAAGCACATATGTGTGAGTGGCCTCAAGAGCACGTGCCCTCCAAAGGGTCCCTGTGGGGTCCCTGGGAGAACCATGCTCTACCTCTGACCAGCCGGTCAGCTCTCAGCAAATGCTGACCCCTCCCAGCCTCCGCCCCCACCTCCTCCTGTGACAACAGCACCTAACTCAGGAGGTTGCTGTAGGTACTTAATAAGATCGTGCTTAGAAAATACTGCTGCTATACAAGCATAGCAAGTGCATAGTAAAGGCTAGTTGCTGCAATTAAACATTGAATTATATGGTCTTGACCGCTTGCTCAACAGATTGTCCAATACAACTTTCTGTAATGACAGAAATGTTTATAATCTTCACTGACCAATACAGTAGCCACTAACTAACCCCATGAGGATACTGAATATTTGAAATACTGAGTGTGTCTGAGAAACTGAGTGTTACATTTTGTCTCATTTTTATGAATTTAAATAGCTGCATGTGGATAGTGGCCACCATATTGGACAGCCAGGTCTAGAGGTCTTCACAGACTTTCTGTCTGGAGGAGCTCTTCTGTGTCTTCAAATCTAGTTGTCTCCAAAACAAAGTATGCACATCCTGGAGGGAGGACACGACAGGGGTAGAGAAAGAAAAACATGAAAGCTTCTATTTATATTTATTTTCATACAGATGTTTGTATTTCTCTTGTCACATGCCCTTTGTAACACACACAATACATTAGCAGAGTAGAACGAACGTATGTATAATTTTTCAATGAACAACTATCCACTTATTAGAGTGAAGGCTCAACATTTGTTACTGATAGGCATGTGCAATCAAAAGCAGACCAGCAACCTAGTCCAGCGCGCCCATCCTGCAGCTGGGCACACAATACATTAGCAGAGTAGAACGAACGTATGTATAATTTTTCAATGAACAACTATCCATTTATTAGAGTGAAGGCTCAACATTTGTTACTGATAGGCATGTGCAATCAAAAGCAGACCAGCAACCTAGTCCAGCGCGCCCATCCTGCAGCTGGGAGGACTGAGGTGAGGAACAGCTGCACCTGCCCTAAGCACTTCCGAAAGATCTTTGCACGTTTCTAGCTACCGTGCCAAGCCATGAAGACTCCCTGCTCTTTACAAGCCTCAGTTTACAAGAATTCTACTCCCTCCCGTGGCGCTCACAGAACCAGCTATGGAGGAAGGAGAGGCAAACTGTGTGGCCCTTTCCCTTTCTCATTTGCCACCGCCAGGATCCAGCCACAGTCCCCTGATCTCCAGGGCTGCCTCCGGAATTTTAAGTGAGATCTGCAGAATGCTGTGTCCTCCTGGGCGCTGGTTTTCCCTGGCAGCAACAATGTGAAAGTGACTTTTTCTCTTATCTTTTCTGAAGTCAGGGTTGGGGGGACGCTCCCCTCCTCCAGCGCCTCCTCCAGTTGCTTCCCCTGTCTGGGGCAGGAGCTGATATTCCCCTGGGGGCCCTGGCTTGTTCTTTGAAGCAGTCTTCCCTGCTTGTGAGACCACAGGTTCCAGAAAGAGCTGTCTGAGTCAGGCTGGGGAGCTGCAGGCTACTAATCACAAACCCCTGAGCCAGTTGGGGCTCCGGCAGGGCCCGGTGGAGAGTGATTTCAAAGTGCAGAGACCAAGGGAAGAAGAGAGGTAAGAGTGTGTGAAGAGGATTCTTCTGCGAGCCACGGCTCACCTTTGTCCCCAGTCAGTGGCTGCCTGCCACACGCTTGCAGGTGTTAAGAATGGCACAATTTGAACTACAGGGAGGTTTTGCTTTTGGATAATGAGTGAGCCAGAGACTCCACTCAATCAAAATAACAAGGAGATGGCTGGGAGGATCCCAGCCCCTGAATTCAGGTCTCATCGACATGGATTTTGGGCCCTTTGGCCCTAGGGGAGAGCCCTAGTGGACCTTGGCATTGTCTTCAAAATAATATTTTGTTTGGTCATGGGCAGTGTCTGTTTCTATCTCTCCTGGGTTCCCCCAGAACATTCTGTGTGCAGCCCCTCCCGGAGCAGCAGTATCCTGGGGACATCAGCCTGGGATGGGCAGATTCTGCAAGCCTGTCCCCATCGCCAGTCACACAAGGCCGCTCAAGGGGCTGCAGATGCTGTGGGCCACTGGCTGGATTGCCTTCCCCAGCTGCACGTCTATGCCCGTGCATGCCCCGGCTGCTGGGTGATACACATACCCCCTTCTCAGGAGGATTGCTCTTGGCCGATGGCAGCTGGTCTTGCCTAAAGACACTTAGAGGAGTTTGTACACCTTCCCCCCAGGGGAGACTCTGAGCCACTGGCTGACTGGCAGGGTGTAACAGCTCAGCCCCTTCACCTCTGACAGGACAGTCCGTGTGGTGCAGTTCACACTGCAGAGCTGCCCGCGGGCTCAGGTGGGGAGGTGGACACTCTAATGCCACATCTTTGCTTAGTTCCTCCCTGGCTCTGGCTTGCTGTGCCACCCCCAACCTCCTGCAAGCTCTCCCTCCATAGATCACTTGTACAGGTATCCCCGTTTCAGACTCTGCTTCCAACAAACCCATCCCCAGACACTCAACAGAAGCATCCCCTTCTCCTCTCCTCTCTCCAATTTGCCTGTTTCCCCCAGAACACTCAAGTCCATTTGAAAAACATCCTAAAATATGCACATGTCCTTATAAATCTGTAGTGTTGCCTTGTGCACAGCATTGCACACGAAGTCCATTCTTCTCATTTTATTTTTACTCAAGGCTATGTTTTAAGATCAATCTAGGTTTCTGTAGATATGTCCAATTTGCTGCTTTTAGCTGGCCTATAGAGTGATTCACATTTTTAAATAAGCTGTCATTTAAAGTCCAGATTTTAAATCCAACTCCTACGCTCCATGCACCCTCTGCTCTCTTGGTCTCTCCTCTAACAGCCTACATCACGGACACTTTGTTAACAGGCCTCATGAAGATGAATCAGAAGAAGGCCTTCTGATACCATGTCAGCTCCAGCAGAGACACTTCAAGGCTGGTTAGCCAAGGTCGTGAGCTCAGGGACATCAGTTTTGACTGGAGTCCAGTGGGAAGGTCATGAAGGGAGGTGGGGGGTGCCATTGTGGTCGTGTATCTGATGCTAACCAAAATCCACTGACCACCCTGCCTGCTCCAACCTTCCTCCCCTACACGTCCACTGCCCTTTTTATCAACCAAGTCTGAGGGAGGGAAGATAGATCCAAGGAGAAGGTCTTGTGGGCTCGCACAGCCTGCCTCCCACCTGATCCTTCTGGGAAAACACTGTGTGGTCTGGGGTCCCTCACCTTCCACTCTTGACCCCACAGGGAATCACAAAGCACAGAGAAGTAGAGTGGAAGGAGGGGTGCCAGAGCCTTCAGTTCCCACTAAGCAGAACCTGGGACTGTGGTTAAAGCCCTGGTGCTGTGGCCAGTGTGACAAAGGGTCTCAGCCACATGTAGCGGGGCCACATGTAACTAGGCCATTTGAACTGAGGCCACATCTGTGGGTCTGTGTCTTTACCCGACTCTAGAGATTATGCTGCCATTACTGAGAGTGCTAGCTCATTGAATAAGTAAATTGTGTCATGACTAAAGTGAACAGACACTCAGCTCAGACAGATAAACACCCATCTCATAAGGAAAGCCACTATCTTCTAATAGAATTACATTCTCAGAGCCCATGTTTCTCCTTCTCTCCTCTCCTCTCCCCCTCAAATGGCTAATGCACATCTTAGGCTTTAAAGAGCACCCCTCCATTACAAGCTCCAATCTCTCCCTCACTTGTTCCGATTCAATTCACCCACAGCTTTGCAGCTCACTGTTCCATTTGTTGAAAACTTCCTAGAACCCGTCTCTGAGTGTTTCATGCTTCATACAGCACTGTACACAGTTACAAATTAATCAATAAAATCCAATTCCATGGTCCGGTGCTTGCTTTGGACACGGCAGAGACATAATTGGTGAGCAATCTGAATCTCTGCGCCTTTAGTTAATGTCAAGGCAATTAGGCATCCAAATATGAATTTTCTACATTTTTTCATTTCCTCTCTGATAATGGATTCTGTGTTTTCTAATTCCTGTCCTTTAACTCGTGTAGTTTCATTAATGAAAACAGCCATTTTCATTACAGTGTGGTATTTGGAGTTGGCAAAAAAACAAAGAGATGTATAAAACAGAATGGATGCCCTGAAATTAACTCCAGGTGTAAATGGGAAGCTAAAAAATAGCACATAAGTGGGGGAAAATGGATTAATGCAGGGTTTGCAAGCTTTTTATGTAAAGATCTAGGTAATAAATATTTTAGACTTTGCAGGCCATGTACAATCTCTGTCACATATTCTTTTTCTTTATGTATGTATAACATTTTATAAATATAAAAACCATGCCTAGCTTATAGTAAAACAGGTCAAAAGCCATATTTGACCCATGGTCCATAGTTGTTATATAAGCAAAAATAAAAATAAATCCTTCCATGTACATGAATATATATCACCATACAAGAAGGAAACATAAGAGAATATATTTGTATATCTGTGGCACTGGGAGATCGAGGGAAAGGAAAGATTTCTTAGACAAGACTAAAAAGTAAATCACAAAGGAAAAGTAGCTCCATTTAACTGTCCATGCTAATCAAAATATATACTTCTTAATGACAAAAGAATCACATGCAGGGTTAAAGAATAAGAATTTCATTTCCAACAGTACAGTGAACTAAATATTCTGATTGACTACCACCACACTCATACTGAAAACAACTAAAAATGCAGATTAAAATATAAAATTTTTAAAACATATTTAAACGTATTGATGTTCTGATTGAAAGGCAAGAAATAGTTAAAAGTCAAAACCAAGTGAAAACTGAAGCCTGGTAAGATTGCTTTCATTTTGAGGGCATTTGCCAAACCAGGTGAGTTCAGTCTTCTATTATCATGTTCTGATAAGATGCAGGGTGCAGGACCTCCACTCTTGCGTAAAGCTCCTACCTCAGAAGGCCATACCCTCTGTGAAGGTTAATTTCAGGTGTCAA